TTCTATTCTATTCTATTCTATCATAGCATGAAAACATGGACAAGCCTAATTCTGTTTAATCACAGGGAGATTTTCCTAATAATAATGTAATAACATTTGAAGTTTATGGAACCCCAAACTGTTGTATTATTCTAGAAATAATGATGTGGAATAGTGGAATCTATTTATAGTAGACTTTGCTTGAAGTAGGACTCTGCCTGGCTGATCTTTTGCAAGCGACTGTGACATATCTAAGCCCTGTTATCTGTAAGGAGTTTGAGTCAGCTGATCCTGAGGACCTGAACAGAATCTTTGTGACTGGGAGCTCAGCCATCTATGTTAGGGACCTGGTCCAGAATGCAGCAGAATGCCCATGTTATATCTCTATTGTGTGAATTGCACTGTCTCCTAGTTTCCTTTCGGGTTCCATTCAAGGCACTGGTTATCATCTTTACAGTCCTGAATGGCAGAGGTCCTAGTTATTTGTGAGACTGCCTCTCCCTAAGAGTATCCACTTGTTTAGTAGGTCAGAAAGGGTAGGTGCATTCCAGATCCCTTCCCTGAAATCTTGCCAATTAATGGAACCTTGGAAGTGTGCCTTTTCTGTGGATGCCCCTACTTTTTACAACACCTTCTGCCCAGCAATAGGGCAGGTCCCCACCCTTTCAGGAGACCATCAAGACCTGTCCAAAGCTGCTTTACCAAAAGGCAATGACTTTCTTGGGTTTTTCCTTGGAAATGTTTTGCTTCTCATCCAAGAAGTTTCTTTTGAAGAAGCTTCTTAGATGTGAAGTGAAACGTCTGCAAGGAAAAACCAAGAAAGTCCAGTTGCCTTTTGGTAAAGCACTTTTGGGACAACCATGGCCTGGATGATTGGAAAGCTCCATAGACATCAAGATTTGTACTAAAGGGATGGGATGGGAAAAATGGAATGAGGATAATGGAGCTTCCTGAGAGGCATCCTAAGGGAATGATTAAGAGTAATTTTTGTCTGATTGTTTCTCTAGTTTTATTGTTGTTCTGAGCTGTTCAGAGCTGTTTAAGATGGGCACCCATATACATAATTTAAATAAATAAAGGAGCACAGTCAAATACCTCACACTTTGGTTCTCTGATTCCAGAGATCAAGAATCCTAAACAGAATTCCAGAGAAATATAGAAGTCTGTTGGCAATATAAGTGCTGAACAGAAATACAGTACTTACCAGGGATTTCAGTGCACCACTAGGAGTGAGCATTATTGCACAACCTAAAATATAAGAAATGGGTATTATCTTAAAGACATTTTATTGAGAAAGTATAGTAAGATTGCCCTTCTCTGCAAAGCCAATTAAGTGGAGTATTGTTTGCTGTACCAATTTTAAATTATAATAAACAAAACCTGTAGCTTAAATATGTAGCTCTTGTTTTCTGATAACATTTTGTGTTCAGTGTTTACTTGGAAGACACAAAGCATGAATAAAAGTTTCCTTTCCTCTAGAGTAGGTTTCCCAAATGAGGAGGAGGAGGAGCTCCTTTGGGGAGCTGCAGACAAAATCTGGAGAATCTTTTAGCTGTACACATTTATAATAAATCCACTTTCCCTAAAGTTTCATTGCATTTTCATTGTTCATTTGTGTTCATTTTGTGTTTTTAGGCATGGTGTTAAAGGGAGATGTAATGGGGAAAAGGTTAGAAACCCCTGTTTCTAGGATGCATAATCAACATTAGCATGCACATATCTCAGTGGAGAAGATGCTAAATCAGAAAATAGAATCTGGATTAGACTTTCACGGGGCAGCTATGGAAGCATTTAATGATAATTTTATAGCAGTCATGCATAATTATACTCACCAGCCATAAAAAGATAGCAAAGCATTCTGGTTGATTCTGGCATTATTCCAAACAGATCTTTCTTTGTAGGTAAATATATGCATTCATTCCAGAAAAGCAAACAAAGAAATAAATTTATCGTCAGTAATAATTATCTTTTAGTTTCCCTGCTTGGTTTAAATCTGGCCAGATGCTGCTGATGCTCTTTGGAGCAGATTGATTATGAAACTACACCTCCTAGACGTGAGATAAGGGTCAATGAAATTCATGGTGGGCTGGACTTAGTAAATTTATGGCTACGTAGAAATTCTAGATTGATCCCACTTTTGACCTCACCCCAGGCTCTGTCATGCCTATAATCTCCTATAATCAATGAACTTTATGTCCTCCATACACACCTCCGTGTTTTGACAATGTATATGAGTTTGGATGACGCCTACAAAGAAAATTTAACAAATTAACTCTCAGTCTGTCCCTGAAGATAAGAGAAGGTTTAAATGACTCATCAGGAAAACATTTTTCTTGGCTTGTGCTTATACTGCTTATTCAGATAAATGTTTGACTATGCTTCTGTTTTGTCCCAATTTATCTTTCCACCTATATGCTGAAAAATTAAAAATATTTATTTTGCAGATAAGAAATTTTAAAGGTCAAAATGTACAGGTGGACAAATATGAGTGCTGTGGTGCAAAATTTTGGACTCAAGTAAGAATAAAAAAACACACACTGGAAATTGATAGCAACCCCTGTCCTCTGAAAGGAGGTTCCAACCCAAGGTCTGGATGCCGTCCAACCTTCTGGTGACTTGGCTCTTTGTGCAGGCCTTTGGTGAGGGTAACTAAAGCCCCTTGGATTGGGTAGGTTCTTCCTTTTTTCATTTCTATCCAGTTCTTGTCATCTTTGCCATCTTTGATTTGTTATTTACCTTTGTTATTGCATTTACTTTATGAGTCATCCAGAGTTGTTAGGAGCCAAGTACCATAAAAAATTTAATAAATGTGTATTTCATTTAATTACATCTGTTTTACATTAAACAGCTCTTCTACAAATCCCTAGCTGTAACCGTAATATTTCAGTGAAAGATCTGCCATCCAGGACAAATTTTGAGACATCAAATCACATTCAAGCAATTAACTATTCAAATTTTAGCATCTCTGTTTCTGAGCCAGAATATCTCACTCATATCTCCAGTGTCAAATGGAGAAAATGTGTCACAGATATCCTGAAGGACCCAGCACTGGTATTTACCACAATTTGACTACATAAATTCTAGGAATTAAAAACATGATGAAGCAGGTTGGTGCATTGCTCTTGGTAGAAATGCTGCATCATCCAGATTTTGGAAAAACATTCTAGCAAGAAGTTACAAATTTTTCAAATCTTCCTTTATTGGATGAGAGAAAATTAATCTGCCCACAATCCAGAGATTTTTTGATTTACTTCTAGCACCTTGAATAATCTGAGGAACGCAGCCCAACCCAGTGCTTAAGGGGAATGGAACTTTGCTACTTTGCCAATAAACCTACATGTACTGTACTTCCTTGTAGGAAAGATTAAACTATCATTTATTCTATAAAACCTCTTCAATCCACATGGAATTAAACATTTTATGCATTAATTCAACTCCAGACAATCTGTTTTTTTCTGTTCTCCTTTTAGTTCTTCTGAAAACTTCAAATGAATATGTACTCATTATTCATAAACAACAGGAAATTAGTTAGAACTGTCATACAACTGATAAATTGACCAAAAATAAAATTACAGATAACCACAACTTGCAAAACACTAGTACTTTATAAATTGTGTGTGTCTTTTGCTTCTCTTAAAGAAATCACAATTCTATATGCAAATCCATCCAAATTTTAATTAATATTGGGAGTGCCTGTTTGTTATTTAAACTCTGTAATTCCCAGGTTAAAATGAAAGGGCTCTCCGTAGGCTAGAACTGAACTGAGAGCTGAGACTTGCTTAGTCCCAAACAACGAAGCCAAATGTTCTCTCAAGCAAACAGCATCCCTTCCATTCCCAGAACACAGAGAATAAAAAGCAAAAAAGAAATAATTCAAGCATGGGACATACCTCTGCTACCTCTTTATGCGTTTGGCTGAAGGAAATAAAATCTGGGCATTCTGCTTTGCACAAATGAAATCAGGATGTGATCTCCACCTCCAATTTCACTTAAAAAGGCAGCCACGCCCAATGATTATGAAATGTGAAACAATTTGGCAATTGGATGGGATGTTTTAGGTCTGTGTCCTGAGTCACCCTGTACCCCAGGAATCCAAGGGAAAGGCAGAGGAGAGAACAAGTGGCAAAGCCCAGGCTGTGCCTGTAGCAAAGTATCTCCAGCTATTGTGGTTTGCAAGCTACTATTTAACAAACTATGATGAAAGCAAAGCAAAGTTGACATATCAATATCAACAGCCATAATACATTTCCTTTAAGCAGTCATCCTAGGGATGCAGCTCAATTTCTCTCAGATGCTTTTTTCAGAATAAGGTGATTGTGCCATGAGGAATACGAGCTACCATATTCTAAGAAGAGATTTGCAGAATGTTAAGTTGGAGTCTCTGGACCACTTGCAGACTCTCTGCAAAAACTACAAGAAAAATGCTTCATTTCATCATTCTGTCAAGATTGAACTGCTTTGCTTCTTTCAAACCGTCATGCTTTTCAACTTGCCAATGAGCTCGGGGAAGGCAAGGGGGAAATGGAAGATGCTGCTGTATGCAGAGATCGTGAGAGCTTGTCAAGGTCACCACTGCAGATGCTGGAGAAAGAGATGGACTGTTCCCATAACAAAAAGATGTCTCATAATTGGACAGTGTGACACATACACCCCAGGGTTGGAGAGAAGAGGAAGCTATTGTTTAACTAGGCAAGCATTTACATGGGAAAACCAGAGCTGGTTTTGTTTCTTTGGTACCAATATGGTCCATCTACTAAAGTTTTACTTTTAGGAATTCAAGACTCCTGAGAGTGTTTCCTTATTTGGGGTTCATTAAACTTATAGATCAAAAGCATTAGTGGAGACAGTTCATTTTATGTAGATTGGGATTATCTCCTTGAAAATAAGATATCTGCTGTAGAAAAGTGTTAGGAGGTCTGAGGGAAATTAATGATACAATGAAAAATTATACTCTTGGAAGAGCACCACAGTCACAAAAAATGGGTAGGGCTCTGACTGCAGAGTAACACCCCTCATCTTAACTTTTGACTCCACTTCTGCCCCTGCGTGGAATGCTGAAAGTTTGATCTTTAGAACATTCCAAAACTTGTTCATTCTATGCAAACAAGGTAGGCCTCTAAGATATTGTTGATTTATTGATAAAATTGAATCATCCATTCCTTGTCTTTTAAATTTACGCCATTAATCCTCTGTGGTATATATGCTGTCATATGTCACACTGTTTGTGACAGAAGCATTTCTAGAACTTCAAATGATTCATAAATCACTTTCAGTGTATTCTTAACAGGTATTAAGTCTTCAAGTCTTCCCTAGATGTGAGCAATATATGTAAGCCCTTCCCATGCTTGCACCTGGCAAATTCTTTTCTGCCATGTCCCTGTGGCATCATCTTCAACTCCTCCTCACCCATAGTTAGGATAGTTGTGCTTAGTTCTCCAAAGTTAGGGGCATTTTCTTTTTTCTTTTAAACAAGTTTTATTTCAGTTTTTCACATTTTAAAAACATCTCTTTTTAGTGAACAGCATGATTACAAGTTTATCTTTACTTACAAATATGACCATAATTACATATTCAATTTTTATATTCAACTTATCCTATCAATACTTTTATACATTTTCTACTTTATTATATGATTCCAAATGCTTGCCTCTTTATTTAATTCACCTATATTTCACATATCGTCATAATTGTTATACTTTAATACTTTTAATTGTCATATTTGCATATTTCATCACATATTCTTATAATATCCATTCATAAAATCTAATTTAAAACAATCATTCTATAAAATTAATTTCCCCCTTAAATTACCAATTTTAAGTGTGCCGCCTCTAAAATTTGTATATTCACTAATCTCCCCTTTTAATCTCAATGAATATTTAACCTTTATTACCTAGAAAGTTAAAATTAATAATCCTTTTAAAACTACATAACAAATATAAATCAAATTCTGCATGGTTTTTCCCCTTCTTAAATTCATAATTATTTACAATTTCAATATTCATAACTTTAAGTATATTTAAACTACCCCTCCTCACCTTGCAGAATTCCCTTTTAAAATATTAATTAGCCATTGTCTTTATGCATTCTAAATAAACAATTCCTTTTCATTTTTTTACAATTCCCATATTTCTTTGTTTCCAAATCCTTCTTATCCCATCTTTTCCCTTTCATTCCTCCCTTTTTTCTGCCACTCCAGTTTTTATCCCCCACCTTATTTATAGCTTCCTTCCACCCTTCAATTTTCTGCCATTTCTGTTTACCTTTTTTAATTTTACAAATATTCCCTTTTTTTTATTTAACTTCTTACAACTCATATTTTTATTTCCCACTCTTTTCCTCCTTCTTTTCCTCCTTCTTTGTTCCTGATGATATTTAAAAATGGCCTCTTCTGTAGTCAGCTCCACCTCATCTTCCATCTTTTGTCTTTGTTGTTCATATTCTAAAATCTCATTTTCCAAGAATTTTAAAGTATAAACCAGCGATTCACCTCATCCTTGTAATATTTCTTTCATGTTTCTGAGTTCCATTTTTAATTCCAGAAGAGATATTGCCATTTTACATGTTTTTATTTAGTAATTTAATCTAAACAGTGTTTATGAGGTTAGTTTCCAACAGTCAGTTTTTGTTTTATTCCTCTCAAATTTTAAGGTCATAACTAGTCCAAATCCAAGTCCAGCCAAAATCAACTATTAATCCCAGGGCAGAATCTTCCTGCTTTTCTTTGTTTCAAAGTTCTAATTTTTCAAAGATCTTGTCAAATTGTATCAATGTACCTTAAGATTTTTTAGAAGCAGAATCTTTTAGTAACAAAACAAATTAACTTTAACCATTAGATGGCACTCTTTCTCATAACAAATCTTCACCCCCTTTTCCCCTCCCTCTATTCAGGGCTTTTTAAACCAGTTTCCCCAAAAAATCAAATCCAATTAATCCAAATTAGTTAAATAATTTCTTCTTTCAGCTTCTACTTTTTCTGGTTCAAAGCCCCACCACTGTCAAAAAACAATTCACACCTTTTTTTCCCTCCTTTCTCTTCATCATTTAAAGTCTTTTTAAAAAATTCTTAAAAATTAATCCTGGGGTACCTTTCATTTAATTATAACATCCCGTTTCTCCTGCTGTCCACTCCTTCCTCTCTCCTGCGCAATCTTATTCCAGCTTACTCTTCCCCTTCAGGGTGGCCAATTTAGACCACCGCTTCAGACATCTTTGGGAGGGAGCTTTGCCAAGCCGGGGGGGGGTTGCGACCCCCTCTACCCAGCTGATCCACCACCCCTTCCTCCACCACCCCTACGAGGTGGCTTCTGCCCCAGATCTAGCCAATTGGGGCTCTTAGACGAAGAAATACGGACCAAAGCCACGGACAATCATGGTCAGCAGTCTGTATTCGGGAAGGCCAAAACCAGAAGCCCTCAAAAGTTAGAAGCATTTTCCCCTGAAGCCAACAGTTTGTTTGTTTGATTGTTTGTTTATTTATTTATTTGGTTTGTCAATTGCTTACAAGATAATAGGTATAAGTAAAAACATAGTTATGAATACATGGATACATACAAGAAAAATTTAAAAAATGAAAGAAACAATAGGACAGGAATGGTAGGCACGTTGGTGTGCTTATGTATGCCCCCTACAGACGTCTTAGGAAAGGGGTGAGGTCAATAGTAGACAGTCTAAGGTTAAAGTTTTTGGGGTTTGGGGAAGAAACCACAAAGTCAGGTAGAGTATTCCAGACATTGACCACTCTGTTGATGAAGTCATATTTTCTGCAATCAAGTTTGGTGCGATTAATCTTGAGTTTATATCTATTGTGTGCTCTTGTATTGTTATGGTTGAAGCTGAAGTATTCATGGACAGGTAGGACATTGCAATGTATGTTTTTATATACTATACTTAGATCAGACCAAAAGAGGTGTAGTTCTAGGTTTTCTAGGTCTAGAATTTCAAGTCTGGTGGCATAAGGTATTCTGCAACGAGTAGAGGAGTGGAGAACTCTTCTTGTGAAATATTTTTGGACTTTCTCAACTGTGTTAATATCAGATACAGAATGTGGGTTCCAGACTGATGAGCTGTATTCAAGTATTGGTCTAGCAAATGTTTTGTATGCTCTAGTTAGTAGTGTAATATTACCAGAGAAAAAGCTACGTAAGATTAGGTTAACAACACCTTTTTGGCTATGTAGTTACAGTGGGCTCTAGCACTTAGATCATTAGAGATGAGTACTCCAAGATCCTTGACAGAGTTTGGATCATCAACAGTGATCAATCATCAGTGGCCTGATGCTGTATGAACAACTGACCATATGGAAGTGGGATCAGCCTGGCACCTCTTGCTCGCTCCTGGGCTTCCCCTCTGGTCCTTGGGCACTCCCATTCCAGGGACACTGGCTTTGGGGGACTAAAAAGCTGACAGTTTCCAACTGAACTTACCTGCTCTAGCCATCTCCTCCCCAAATCCATGGACCCTGCTGTTTAGGCAACTTAGGTGATGTGGATCCAACTCAGTGGTGTATTACAATGTGCTTAGGGCACCACGCCCAAAGGGGGCACCACAAAAACTTTTATGTAGCCTAAGCTTGGCTTCGTTTGTACAGTATATACAAAGGAGGGGGCACCAGGATTTGTCAATGCTTAGGGCAACAGTGAGCCTTAATCTGCCATTGATCCAACTGTTTGACTACCTAGAATTGTTTGATATGGGCAGCATATACATTTAATCAAGAAACAAACCAATAAAACAGATGAGCAGATGGTGGGTAAACTTCAGAACAAGCCCATGCAATAGGGATAATCACCAGAGGGGGTATTCAGCAGGTTCTGACCAGTTCTGGAGAATCGGTAGTGGAAATTCTGAGTAGTTTGGAGAACCAGCAAATCCCGCCTCTGACTGGAGATTTTACAGTCTCCTTCCCCTGCCACACCCACCAAGCCACACCCACAGAACCAGTAGTAAAAAAAATTGAATCCCACCACGGATAACCACCATTATCTGATAAGGTGATAAGAGATTTATGT